GCAAAAGCCTTCCCCGACCTCCAAGGCTCCCCAGACCCTTCCACGGGGCTCGTCACCACCAGACCAACTATTTTATGTAGAACCGTCTGCCCCCTCACCAGAATGCGGGCTCCGTGCAGGGGAGGATGCTCCACTTTTCTGTCCCTGGCACCTAAAGCTTCCCTGACCCATCATGGGTGCTCGGGAATGACCACTTTGCAAGAAGCAGGAACCCAGCACTCCCGATATGCCACGGAGCCTCCGTACGGCGAGGAAAATGATTCTCAGCCCTGTGCCCTTCCATGGGTCTAACTAGAATAAAATGGCAGGAGGCGTGGGACTTTGGGGAAGCCCTTTTCCTCGGGCCTCAGTTTCTGCTTCTGTAAGATGACATGATTAGAACAGGTTATCTCTGTGGTTCTGACAGTCTAGCGAGCTCCAGTGTGCAGAAAGGGCGTGGTTTACATGATCCTGATGCACACCTCCTCTCAGAAGAGATCCCCCTTGTAGGCCGGCTGAGCTCAGGACAGCAGAGGATGAAATTCCTTCTGGTGGGTCAGCCCTGGGCCCTGTAGAGGCTCCAGACAAGGGATGTTTGTAGGAAATGCCCCAGGGACCCCAGCCCAGCTCCCGGTTCAGCACGGGTGCTCACTGAGCATCTCCGTGTGCTGGGTGCTGAGCTAGTTAGCGCACGGTAGGGCCTGGAGAGCAAGGCTGCGTGGTCCCTGCCCTTGTGAGCTTAGGGTCTGCTGGAGAAGCCACACAAATGAACCACAGAGTGTCCCAAGTGCTTGGAGATCACTGGATACAACAGGAACACGAGGAGAACATTAAGTGGAGAAGATGTGGGGTGACACAGAGCAAATCACGCCCCCTCTGCAGAATGGATGCAACTCAATAAAGTTTTAGAACTAGACGATACCAGAAGGCAGGGGTTCCTAAACTCAGCTCTCAGTCAAGATCACCAAGAGAAGTTTGTTTTTAATAAAATGCAGATTCCTGAATCCTATACCCAGCGTTCCTGATTCAGTAGGTCAGAGGCAACAGAAGGGCGTCCGGATTTAATCCTTCCAAGCGCCTCTGGTGACCTGCTTAGAGAAGAAACCCAGAGGCGCCCAGTTAAAAGAAACAAGCAGAAGGGGGAGGGCTGGACCTCAGTCTTCCAGGTTTGCTTTGGACAGAGACACCGACTCCCCGAGACGCTGACTTCCCCTGGAAGATGAGGTCAAGGGCTGCCGCAGTCCCCAACAGGCACGGGCACCACCTGTCAGCGATGTCAGCGTGGTTGCTGAGCAGGAGACAGCGGGGAGATTATTTCATTTAGCAGTGAGGAGCCCCCACATTGGAAGACAGGCCTGGCCTGGGTGGTTCTCCATAGAGGCAGCTTCCTCCTGCTTTGTGCAGGAAGAACTCCACGTTTAAAAAGGAACCCACAGAGAGATCAATGGGAAGAAAATAATAAAGGAAAAAATACTTACCCCTGTAGGAGTGTCCTGGGGCTGCCATAACAAAGTGCCACCAACTGGGTGGCTCGAAACAACAAAAATGCATTGCCTCACAGTTCTGGAGGCTGCAAACCCTAAGTCCAAATGTCAGCAGAGCCACGCTCCTTCCGAAATCTCTGTAGGGGAGAGTCCTTGCTGCCTCTTCCGGCTTCTAGTGGTGGTCGTGATCCTTGATTTGCAGCTGCATCACTCCAGCCTCTGCCCTGTCGCCACATGGCACTCTCCCTGCTGTCTCTCCTCTTCTCGTAAGGACACAGGCGTGCTGGATGAAGGCCCACCCTACTCCAGTAGGAAATACCTGCAACAACCCTATTTCCAAAGAAGCTGGCATTCTAAGGTACTGGGGGTTAGGATTTGAACATCTCTTTTTGGGGACACAAGTCAAGCCCTAACACCCATTGAGTCCCAAATGCTTTCAAGCCTCATCAAGAACCAGATGCCAAGGTGTCCTCTGCAGCCCACCCAGCTCTCATGTTCTCACTTGTGAGAGTCCTTCTTTAAGGCGAAGGTCTCCTTGGAAAGTGTTGAGAAGCCAAGTTCATGCGTCTTTAAAAAAAAAAAAAAAACACTGAGAGGATTTGACCTTATAAACATTCTTAACAAAGCTGTTCCTTGGACAAGTCCCTGGAATTATGCCTTTCAACCCGACTTGGTTTCCACGCTCTTCTTCTACCCATCTCCCCCATCAAGATGTTATCTGAAAGAAACCGGGAAATTACAGTGTTTCTGACCATGCCAAAAACAATTGAGCTTCCCTGAAACTATGGAGTCTAATGTAATAGTAATCTTTAAAAATTGTAAGGTCAAGTTTGTTTCTGCAGAAGATCGTGTTTCATGTTACTAACGGACGGACTCAAGGTGTGATCTGCCTTGTATCGGTGTGGGCCTTGGGCGTGATGGCCACCTGGGCTGGCGAAACCAAGAAGACGTGAGGTTTCGATGGCTCCAAGTATCCCCACGCCTCCCAGGGTGGTGACCCACAGATTTCAGAGAAGCAAAAGAGGACCATTATCAACCGGAAGAGAAATGCAAGGGATACCAAGATCTGAAAAAGGTAAGTCAACAATTATCACTATCATCCAAGAGCTACGCCTACCCCTGGGAAAAGCATGTCCGAGCACTGTAGCATCAAAATGTCGAAAGTAAACCTTCCTTTATCTCCGGCTAAGGAAACCCCAGCCCACCAGGCTCAGGGGCTGGAGAAGACTCTCCAAGAGTCACTGCCGCACCCCACCACCTGGAAAAGCCTCAGTGTGCCCTTTCCTTTGTGGCCAATGGCAGCTACTTCAAAGGTCTCCACTGACAAAGAAAGGCAAATTAATCTGCCACACCAGGACACCACTCTACACACCTGGCAAAAGGAAAAAGCTGAGAAATACTCAGAAGTCCTTAGAAATGACAGCAACCTCTTCAGAAACGTGCGACAGCCAGCATTGCCCGGAGGGGGAAACCAGGGAATGGGCTCCAGAAACCTGGCCGCTGCCAAGCAGCCAATGAACATTCTCTTTGTTTCTGAACCATCCACGACCTACCTTGTTTTGGGTTTCTAACATTCAAATACAGGCACCACAGATCTCAAGAGACCTCCAAAAGGAAAAGAATGACGGTCCTTCCTGTGGTGTCATTCCAGACGAGAAGCGTGCCCACCGTCCCTTTTCTAACCCATAACTTACACTGTGCGCATGTGGAAGATAACCACCAACTGCAATCGCACACGCTCTCTGACCTCGCAGAGAGCCAGCAGGTGTGCCCTCCGTGGGGCAAGAAGGCACCTTCCAGCCGCCAGGTACCTGGATGGCCAAGTCTCCTGTCTACAGAGGTACGATCCTGCTCAAAAGCCTCTCGCATAAATGGAGCTCGAGACAGCGTGTGCCTTCACATCCTTGGCAGGGTTTCTTTGAGTGCAACCGGGAGAAGAAAGCAAACGCCTTCACTGTGGCATCATGTGCCTTTACAGCCAGGGTGGGACGACAGCACGGGCTGACGTGGAAAGGGACCAGGGTGATCCTCGATAACATGGGGCTTGAAAGGAAAGATGCCCTGGCCCATGAGAAGCAAAGCTCTACCAGCCCGATGCTAGCAGGCAGGGCAGCCTTCGTTCACAGACAAGCAAGGGCTTGGTGGACAACCTGCAAGGGGGCTAATGTTGCAGCAGGGTCCTCTTGGGGGCACCCGGTTGTTTGCCATGGCACCAGCTCCCAAAGAGGAAAACGTGTTGTTATTGTGCACCAGAACCACAGGACCCAGCGACTGTTCTCTGGACTTCCAGTGGGAACAGGGATAAAGGAGAACCCAGCTCACAGGCAGGCAGAAGGAGCCCTGCTTGTGACCCACTCCAACCCCTGGTTGACTTTGGGGCGTTTCCAGAACATTGTCTGCATTGCAATTCGGCACAGCTCCTAAAAGCCAGACTCTAGTCCAAAAGCAAGTTAAGATAGTGATAAGAAAATAGTCCTTTTTCCTTTAGCCCTTTGCCCTTGTAGCTTCCTCCTAACACCCAACGTTCACAAGCCTTGATTGAGAAATAACTGCCAACCTAAGACTTCTTTTCGCTGCTCTAATGCAAAGCAATTGTGAGCTTGACATATCAAGATAAATCCAACTTAATGGGAACATTCAGTGGCCAAGGACAACCTGCCAAGACCAAAGTATTAGGCTGGCAGAGTTTAAATTACTTAACAACATCTAATGCCAACATTAAGTCAGGAATTGCTGAGCATTTGGTAGAGAATTATGAATTAAGGATTATAAGAGTGGAGTTGAAGCAGTGGCCTTATCCAACGTGGAAAATCCTATGGCTCCACTTCCCTTTGAAGCCCGGCCACGCTTGCCAAACTATAAACATATCACTTCCTGGAGGATATGCCAGGCCACTTCAACTTGAAATCAAGTACCTGCAGTGTGCATCCAAGGTCTTGCAAACATCCAGCAGGCTCACAACCCCTGCCAGACTCCTCTTCTCCAAGTATCGTACGAAGAAGACCCAAATTCTGGTTTACCCTGCAGGCAGGCAAAATGACTTGGGTAGATGAGCATTATCATGTGTCCAAAGATGGGGAATTTTGATTAATTGAAAACACTGCCATCCCATTCCTCACTGCTTGCATTCAATTAAATGCCAAGTCCTCCTAAAGAGTATGTGCCCGTGGAATGCCCACAAACACTTCATTTGCAATCCTGAGCAGCATACAGTAATGTGACGTAGAGCACCATACAGCAGTGGCCCTATTCTCAACAGCAGCCTTGCATGAGACGCTGCTCCCCAAATGTGGACCCCTTTCAATGTCAATAAACCATCCCTCGCACATTTCCCGACACCCCTGGGGTGGAGAGGGTGACACCGCGTGCAGCTGAGAGGCACTGAGGATAGTGAAAGGGCCTGAGGCAGCCAAGCGGTCTTGCCAGGGAGACAAAATGAAGCTTTCCTGCCGCTGCTCGGTCTGCTAACTAAGCTACAGTCAAGCCATGAATCAGCTCTGCACCATTCAAAAAAATCAAGTTATAACCAGACTTTCACAGATTCTATCGAGAATACTTTTATTATACAGGCATCATACACACGACAATTACTTGGGGAACATTGACAGGCGCATGGAGTTCAATGCCGTATCTCCGTTTCGCCCACACACACTGCACTGCACACTCATCTTGGGGTTCACCCCAACAGGAACAAGACACAAAAGTTATTGCTTTCTGAACAGAGAGCTTCAATTAAATAGAATCTTCCAAGCCAAGAACAGAGCGCAGCATCCTCTTAATACCCTGTGTACATATGAATAAAACCTTAAGACGTGTTATAGATTACCCCATCACCGTTAAAAGTTAATATTAAAATCGAATCCCATTTCTCAAAAAAGTCGTAAGAAGTGCACCAGTATTTACAGACCCCCATTAAATTATGCATAAATAAAATCTGTACACTCAATGCACTGTTTCTCAAATACAGAGCCTCCTCGGAGACTTGGGGATGACAGGCAGCACACACAATGCTTCGTGCCCACCCTTTTCAAGTTTACTCAAAACATCTGAAATAAATATGCAAATAAAGCTTCAATACCTTAAAGGATCATGTCATTTTTAAAGAGTCTCCTATTTAAAGAGTTAACTTTCAAAGTGTTTAAAAAAAAAAAAAAAAAGGAAAAAAATCAGCAGGCTTTGTTTCTACACTTTTGCTAAAACCCGAAGGCCCCCTTTGAATGACATGGGTGTCAAGTGTGTGGAATATCACCTATCGGCTCCTCGCTAAGCAGACAGAACCTTTGCCTCCCACTGGAGGATTTGATCTGGGAAGAAGCTAGAGAGATAAATACTTTTTCTTTAAGGTAAAATTATTTAGTGGACACGAAAACCAGCCGTTACCTTAACACTGAACAAAAAAAGTTCTTTCTGATCCGGATCACATCAATTTGACGTTTCAACGACTAAGTGTGTGGTTTCTTGTTGTTGTTAGCCCAGGGGATTTATTTAAAAGGTTCTAGAACTTATAGCACCACTTTCAGAGAAAGGAAGAATGGGGTTCAAAACAGCAGAATAAAAGTTTAATGAGTAAAGAGCCAGCACTTGTCACCTTCTGGTAATGTCCAAAGGTAGGAGACACCTCGGAGCTAGAGAAACACTAAGGGATCCAGGAGGACACGCCCACGTTGTCGCCGTCGACCCGGAAACCAAGGGAGGCCTCTGCATGGCTAGCAGTGAGGTGGGTGACCGCCGCCCCCAGGCCAAGGGGGCCCCCAGTCCGTGAGAAGGGTTTGGCAGGCCCGGTCCTTCCCAACTCGCGGGCCCTGTGTTCGCCCTGTTTTATTTCCTGTGCTTCTCCATCTTCTCCAGGGTTTTGTTGGAATCCGCCGGACTCTGGTCTCCGGGGTTCATGTAGGACTTGTCTATGGCTATCAGGGCTTCCTTGATGTAGTTCTGCATGGCAGACACGGCGGCGCAGATGGCCTGGCTGCCAAACCCGTGGGTGATCAGGCTGAAATGAGACAAGCAGTTCTGTATGTTCGTCTCCAAGACAGGGGTGGGCCTGTTGCTCCCGTTGGGTGTCCGGTCTTGAGTGAGAAGGTCTGTGAACTCTTTACACACTTGCCTGTGAAGACAGTCAACGGACCCCCGTGAGCTTGCGAAACAAATTACCCCGAGGACCACACCTGGGAGGCGATTGGAACCGTTTGCCTGAACCAAGGAGGGAGAATTTTAACTAATCCTAACGGCCAACTGCTGCACTTAGGCCCAGAGTCGGGTTAAACTCTTTCCGGGCTACCTTATTTAATCCTCATTGCAATTAGGAAAGATAGCAGGATTAACCCCAGTCAACTGGCCAAGGTCACCAGGACTGGTAACAGTGGTGAGGTCAGGATTCCAACCCTTGAGGTTTTTGGGCACTTTGCTTCCATCCAGGAAGGTTCCAATAAACAAATTCTGTCAGGGACCCAGAGAATCACATCCCCCCAGCCCAAACTCACTCTCCACGCAGGCTGGCTCATTGCACTCCCTCTCGCCCCATTTCCTGACTTGACTAGTTCTGCTTCATTTACCGTGATTTTAAAAATCAACTTATTGTTGGTTTGTATGAGAAATTCCACAGCTGCAGTAAGTAGCTTAATTGGCCCACATGTCTGGGGCGCATCCACCCTGATCTGTACATTTAAAAAACAATAGTCTCGCTATCAGGAGGTAGAAGGCACAAGATCTCTTTACTGGATGTGACAAAACAAACACATTTTTGTAAGATATGCAAATACAATAATCAAAGGGTAGCTCCACTGTTTTGAGCTGAATAAACAGCTTACAAACACTCATTACTGAGCAATACTTTTTTTTTTTTTTTGCTTTTTTCATTCTTCCAAAAAATTGATTGCTTTTGCTTTTTTAAGGAGGCTTCCTAGCCACTTTCTTTTGCTACGCCCCAATTAATTCCATGAAACACTTCTTTTCTGAGCCATGGGCACTGCACCAGATCTTCAAACTGCACGATCTGGAGCACTGACGCATCACAGTCGGGGTACTCACTGGGCTGCCAGCAGCATGTTCTTCCTGGTCGCCATCTCATTTCGTCCTCCAAGATGAGGTCTGGTTAAATATTCGGCCACCGGTTTACTAGGAAACTCGGCTTCACAGACATAGGCAAAGTCCCGAGCCAAATGAACGGCTTCCCCTAGAATTATCAGCAACAGGTTTTAGGATGGCTGTGGTCACTGCAAACTCCCTTTTCTCCCTCTCTAGCCTCATCTACCAGTCACTTTGCTTTCTAAAAGTAATCATTTAATATGGAACAAACAATTCCCTGGTAGGTGACACTTTCGGTAAGTACCCCAGGAATATTCAGGGTGAAGATCAGACAGCATGAGCAATAAAGACCCCAAAACCTGTACAGCCAGCCGTGTGCGTGGGCTCTGCAACCATGGACCCAACCAACCACCCATGGAAATATTCAGGGGGAAAAAAGGATGGTTGTACCTGTACTGAATATGTACAGAATTTTTCTAATCATTATTCTCCAAACAATACAGCTATTTACATGGCATTAGTTATAATAAGTAACCTAAAGATGATTTAAAGTATACAGGAGAGGCCGGGCGTGGTGGCTCACACCTGTAATCCTAACACTCAGGGAGGCCCAGGTGGGGCGGATTGCTCGAGGTCAGGAGTTTGAAGCCAGCCTGAACCAGAGCCCCATCTCTACTAAAAATAGAAAGAAATTAATTGACCAACTAAAAATATATACACAAAAAATTAGCCAGGCATGGTGGTGCATGCCTGTAGTCCCAGCTACTCGGGAGGCTGAGGCAGGAGGATCGCTTGAGCCCAGGTTGCTGTGAGCTAGGCTGATGCCACGGTACTCACTCTAGCCGGGGCAACAAAGTGAGACTCTGTCTCAAAAAAAAAAAAAAGTATACAGGAGGATTGTGTATGTTATATGCAAATGTTATGTGCATATGTGTATGTTATGTCACACCATTTTAAATAAGGGACTTGAGCATTCTCAGATTTTGGTATCTATTGGGGGGGGGTCCCTAGAGCCACTTCCCTGTGGATACCAGGGGGAGCTGTACTTGAAATTGTAACCAGCCCCCTACCCAACAAACTGATAATCAGGACACACCCGTGCTTTCTCTTAATAAATAATAAATAGTATTACTGGGGGAAACGGGACAATTTAAGGCGGATGGGCATGTCTGACAAAAGCAAACTGGTCACTCCTCTACAGAAAGGCGACAAAGCCTTTGATACCTTACTTTCTTTTAAGCTAGGATGCCCTACCACCTCTTACTGAGGGAGGCACAGAGCTCTAGAATGTTTCTTTAAAAGACAGAAGGGTCGAGTGTGTTTCCTATTGGAAATAAATGTTAAGAGCTCCAGCTACAGACATGGAATACCCTCCCCTTGTCCAACTTTTTGGGGGAGCGGAGGGAGAAAACCAAGGGAGTCATCTCCCTCCAGAAAGACGCCCTTCCCTGGACCCAGGGCGCAAGACCGGAGAGGCTTCCAAACACGGGGATGGCGGAGGGGCTCCTGGATGCTCTGAATCGGCATCAGAGAGCCATTGTTCCTGCACACACTTTCTTATTCAGCCACCCCTGCCTGGCCAGCAAGAAAGCCTAGCAGGGCCACATTCACGCGCCATGCACGCAGAGCCCACCATTCTCCGTGCAGGACAGCTGTTCTCAGACAGGCAGCTCCTTTCTCCTTGCCCTGACCTCCAAAGGCACTCGTAAAAAGGTAGAGCAGGGACGCTGCCAAGTCCTTTTTGCACCAGTCACGCCGTTAGACCAGGAAACAAAAATCTTCAAAAGATGCATTGCTACCTACCAGGAGCCCACTTTTTCACTGGCTTCCCCAACGCGCAGCAAAAGCCCAGCACCCTGTAGAGGGTGCAGGCTGCAGAGGGGCTGCTGGAGGCTGTGCCTAAGCCTCTCAGTGTTCAACTTTTTTTTTTTTTTTGCAAGCAGTAACAATGTGCTTGTTTTTTTCTTTTTTTTAATTACTTTACTTTTTTCCCAGCCCCTTTTAAAGGTTGTATTGCATTCTTGGCTACATTCCAGGTTGGGGAAAGGGTCCCCCATTTGAGAAACTGCAATGCCATGTCCTACTGTCTTCGGACTCAGCCCATGGGCCAGGGGGTTCCATTACTTTTTTTTTCTTTTGAGGAGAGGACAGGAAGGAGGGAGTTGTGATTTGGGCCAGTCTCACTAAACACAAGGGCTTCTCTTTACTAACCACAATCCCAATAATCCCCAACTATAAAAACCAGAAATGGTACTTCTGCCCACCAGTAAGTACCTAGTTCTTTTCCAGTGTACCAATTGATCAGCTGCATCTTTTAAAATTGGTTCTTTTAACAGGAAATGTCTCCAAATCCCTTTAATGTGATTTTTTTTTTTTCTTTTTGAGACAGTCTCACTTTGTTGCTCAGGCTAGAGTGCTGTGGCATCAGCCTAGCTCACAGCAGCCTCAAACTCCTGGGCTCAAGCAATCCTCCTCCCTCAGCCTCCTGAGTAGCTGGGACTACAGGCATGCGCCACCATGCCCAGCTAATTTTTTCTATATATTTTTAGTTGTCCAATTCATTTCTTTCTATTTTTAGTAGAGACGGGGGTCTCGCTCTTGCTCAGGCTGATCTCGAATTCCTGAGCTCAAAACTATGATCCTCCCACCTCGGCCAGGATTAAAGGCGTGAGCCACCACGCCCGGCTAATGTGATTTTTTTAGGTTAGGAAAACCAATTTATTTCGTTTGATTTTATTCTATTTTCTTATGATTTCTGTGTTTCCTCTCATCTTTCAGCTGAATAATTTCTTTTTGACATTGATTTTCTAGAGAGTCAGGAATACCTGGGCAGCCAGATGTTTAACTGTTTATTTGATAAAATTACTGTGCCACTGCAATGAACTTAGGACAATTCAAATTGCTTTCATCACTCTACTTGTGACCAAGTTTTTAAGAGTTGGTTTCTAGCTTTTCTAGATGAAAAGTACGAAAGACACAACACAAATTAAAAACACCACAAAACAAAAACAAGACCCCACTGACCTTCTACTAGAGATGTCAGCAGAGTCACGTGGGCAGCTTTCCGCCTCCCGGCCGGAAGGTTCAGCCCAATCTTGTCCAGCTTCTCCCGTAAGGACCGGCCTCCATTTTTAGATTTGGCTCTGAGTAAACAAAATTGACTCTGACTACTCTCATGAAACCACACTTTAGAAATTCTAAATTCCTAAAGTGCTGCTGTCAAAGCTGAGATCTCTCAAAGATTATGTGAACCCTAATCCAAAGTGATAAGGGGCGTGCTCATTCAATTAATCCCAACAAGAAACTCAAAATCAAAAATCTTTTTTCTCGTTTAGCATCACCAACTTTTTTTTTTTTTTGCCTTTAAATCACAAAGCATTTGAAGTGGTTTTGGAGCAAATATTCACTTGTAAAACTGCAGCAGCCCTGCAGAGAAACTCTCTGGGGGAACAGAATCCATGGTGCGTCCCATCCCTGACACAGAGGCTACCACTTCATACACAGAATCAAATTCTAACCAGATGATAATTTGTTAGCACTGTGTTAGCACTTCCTTCTCCGTTTGGCACTTTCTAAAGAGAAGAAACGTACTAAAATCTCTCTTGGAGATGATTAGAATTCAGTGTTAGGTATAAAAGTTATATAAATGTTAAAAATACCTCTCGGCCCTTTTATAATACGCTCGCCTTCAACTACCCAGCCACCATGCCCAGAATGAGTTCCCCAAGTACCTTCTGAGAACACCTCCCAGTAACGAGGCGTTTAAGCATTCAGGAGGGGACAGTCGCCTCTGTACTTCTGCCACTGTCACTTTATATTTAGATGTGGAGCTGAGCAGGGACAGTCTTCCAGGGACGGAGCAGAAGACCTCGCTGGGGTTCATCACGGCTCCCACCAGCTCCTTCTGGTGGCTCAGAGGGAGGCTCAGCGGGTTCTTGGTCATCGAGATGGGACCTGTGAGTGAATGAAGGCAGGTCAGAGCCGGCAGCCCCCGGAGCCACATCTGAGCAAAAGACCTTTTCAAAACCACTAACCAAAGCTGAAAGAGATCTTTAGACGAATAACATTGCATGCTGGACTATAAATTGCAAGCAGACTTGTTTTGTTTTTTAAAGCCATATTTCCTTCCAAGATACATCGAATCTAAAATTCACAAGTTAACACCTTGGGAAGTTAATTAGTCAAGATCCTCAGCTTAGTGAGGAGTTTTCATTTCCTAACCTCTGCTGAAACTATTTAATTAGAACATGTTTTCTGAAGACTGCTTCCATACTAAATAAATGGTGAGTTTTTCTCACTCAAGGAATAACCAAAATCACAGGACACGTTCAGATCCTTTGCCAAAACCCTCCAGTGCAACTGATCACAGTAAATTTAAAAATACAAAGTTACCCCAGTCTGTTAAAAGTTTACTGGAAAAATTAGAGCTACTAAGCTTGCATTAAAAAAAAAAAAAAAGTTTACTGGAAAATTTAGTTTATTTTCCAAGCTTTTCTTCAAAATCTGTTTTCTCCAATGTTTTTAAGCAATTCAATCTCAAGTAACAGACCATAATTACCTTTAGGTCCACTACATTTCACAAAAAACAAAAACAGACTAATAATCCTGTCAGTATGTAACTTAATTTCATGAGCCACTCTCTCACCAAGTAATCCAATTTTCCAAATCCCCTCCCTCCCTTCTTAACCCTGCAAAACCCAATCTGACAGATCACTCCAGCTCTGTTCCATTTAAGGCTGTTAATTCAATAGGCCAAACTGTTTCAAAATTTTTCTTGCAAGTCAGAATTAAAGACCCTTTCCACAACCGTGTTTGAAATTAAAAAAAAATAATACAATCACCAACACATCCATTCCACTATTAAAATCGTCACAGAGCCAATCACTCAACTAAGGTGTGTGCTTGTGGTTTTTTCAGATTAACTCGCTCTGGAAGACTCTCTCTAGCAGTGTAAAACAGTCTCGGGATTCAAGGAGTAACATTTCCCAAGATTTCCCAAGAGAGAACTAGGCAGGAACAAATCTGGGGATTAAGAGACAGCTGCTAAGAGTTCTACCTGAGTGTTCTTTTCCATTTAGGTTTGAAAAGAAGTTCCCTCCTCTCAGTCCTAAAACCTAGCTTACCACCAGCGCCCCCATCACAAATGACCCACGCTGGCCACCGAAATACCCCACCCACCTCGTGGGAAAGTTACAAACGTAACAAGTCCTGGTTGTGTGGCCAGACTCGCTCGCTATTTACCTTTGCGAATGACAGTCTGATCGTGCAGCAGCAAGTGCTGGTCGTCGACATTCTGGGGAGAGATGACAAAATTTCCTTTAAGTACTGCGAGCCTGGAGGGGCAGGGGGTGGGGGCAGTGGCAGGAGCAGGTCCGCGCGCGGGAGCGCGGCGCCGCTCACCTGCACCTCCTCCATGGAGTGCGCCATGTCGTGCAGCCCCAGGTTCTCCGCCAGGCCCGCGGCGTCCAGGGCGTGCGCGTGGGGCAGCATCAGGTCGGAGCGGCGGAAGGTATCCCTGCGGGCGCTCACCGCCCCCGCCTCCAGTCCCGGGAGGTGGGGCAGCAGGCCGGCCGGGCGGCCGTGGTGCGAGGGCAGGCCGGCTCCCTCCTGGCTCTGGCGGCCGGACCAGGCCTGCTGCTGGCTGCCGGCGGGCGCGGGCGCGTGCAGGGGGTTGATGGGCGCGGCGTAGGCGTCCAGGTGCGGGTAGTGGTCGGCAGACTGCGAGTAAGCCAGCTGCTGGTAGGGAGGTGGGAAGTAGGGTGGCGGCTGGTAGTCGGCGACCGCGGTGTGCGAGAGCGGCGGCGCGGGGGTGTAGAGGTGCTGCCCGGCCGAGGAGAGGTGGGGGATGCGCGGGTTCCCATTGCTGCTCCCGTCGTGGCGATCCTGGAGGAGGAAAACGGAAGACCCGGTTAGTACGAAACCCCGCTATGGCGAACTGGCCGGCGTCGCCGGGCTGCGCGGCGCGCCCCGGGGGGCCCGCCCTGCCCCACCCGCGGGGCCCGCGCCCGGGCCGGAGGGCACCGGGGGCGATTCGCCCCGGGGATTTCGTTGTAAACCTCCGGGCCGCGGAGGAAGGGAGGCTGGTGAAAGACCTGGGGGAACGAGTCCTCAAAGCCCGGCGGCGAAGGTCTGTGCGCTCCGAAGCCCGAGGCGCTCAGAGGCGCCAAGCCCGAACCCCAGGAGTTGGGCCAGGACAGGCCGGGGCCGGGGCCGGGGCCGGAGCGGGAGCAGGAGCAGGAGCGGGAGCGGGAGCGGGAGCGGGAGCAGGGCGGCCCGCTCTCCAGCCCGCACATGCCGGCTCCGCGCGGCGAGAGGAGCAGCGAGAGCGGCGGGCGCGGGAAAAGCGCGCATCTCCCCCGCCCCAGGGACCCTCCCGTCCACGCCCTCGGGACAAAGACCTCCGGGCGGGCGGCGCTCCCGGGCAGGGCCCGCCACCCTGCGTCGCCCGAGGGGCTCGAGCGGGGACGCGCGGCGGCCCCGCCTGCCCTCCCGGCTAGCCGCACCCGGCCCGGGGGACGCGAGAGGCGAGGCCGCCGCGCACGGCCAGGGCCGGTGTCCCCGCACACCCGGGCGCGGAAGGAGGATGCCGGGCCCGAAAGTTGGGCCACCTCGCCCGCGCAAGTCCCTCGCCCCACGCCGGCCCGACTTGATCTCTAAAGCCTGGGTCTGCAAAGGCCGGGGTACGGGGGTCACGGGGGTGGCCGGGAACCGGGAGACACGAGGCACCGTCGCCCCCTGGCGGAAGAGTCCGGGCCTGCAAGCGGGGCAGCCCCTCGAGGTCCCCGAGGCGCCGCGAGCTCCCGCGTCTCCGCGGCCCCGGCTCCCCGCTCCCCTTCTCCCGGCGCCCCGGAGCTCGCCTCGCGCCGCCTGTGCCTCCTTCCTCTTCCCGCTCGCCGCCTCCCTCCCTCCCACTCCCGACACTCTAGCTCAACCTGTCCGACAGGCTGGAGCACTCGCGAGCGCTCACGGCCCCCCCAGCACTCCCAGCCCCCACTTCTCTTGAAAGCCAAACTTCAGTTGTTTTCGTGCTTCCCCGTGGAGGTAGCGGGGCAGGTGACAAGCCCGCCTAGGAGGAGTCTCCGTTAAGGTGTCACCGGCAGGTAGCCTCATTTGACCCCTCTGGACGGAGACTTCGTGCGTAAAAGCCAAGTCTGAGGGCTGCAGACCGGGCGCTCTTCCGAGAAAACGGGAAGGAGGGCTGTTTGCTTCTTATGAAACCAACTGGTAAGCTCTGTGGGTGGGATCTGCCATTCTCTCGCCAGGCCTCGTTCCGAGGGCTTGGTGTTTAGGAAAAGGCCCGCGACATAGGGGGCCCCGGAGGAATGGACTAAGCGGTGTCCGGAGTGGACCCCGTCCCACCGACCGGCCAGGGCTCCCGCAGCCTCGTCCCGGACCTCGGTGCTGCGGCCCTGCCTCGCGGCTGTCCTCGGCGGGGCGGGGCTGCGCCCTCTGCCCCAGCTCACCTCGCAGTCCTCTTCATACTTGACATTATCGGTTATCTTCCACAACATGGCGTCCGGCGTCCCCCAAAACAGTCGCCAGTTAAATCCAGGCTCCCCCCACCCCCCGATCGGTAAATCCAAAATCGGGGTCACGGTGGCCAGGCGTCTGCCGCCGCCCCGCCGCGCGCGGGCCTCGCCGTCCGGTCACTGGGCGCGCATCGGCGTCGCTCCGAGCGCAGATGCCCCGCCGCGGGTGCAGAGGCCGCTGCCTGGGACCGCGAAAGCCGCGCCCGAACGGAGTGTCCCGGCGATAGCCGCGAGACCCGAGCGCTTAATGAGAAGGAAATTATCATAACTCCTCCCCGGGGGCCCGCGCGGAGCCCAGGCGCCGGGCGGGGCCGCCCCCAGCCAGTCCCAGCCTAGCCCCGCCCCGCCCGGCCTGGCGCCGCGCCCAGCCCCTCGCCGAGGGGGCGAGAGGGGGAGTCAGTGGGCGGGACCTCGTTGACAGCCGCGGACCTGCGGAGCCCCGGCGCCCCGACCAGCCTGCCTTCTTCTGTCACCCCACCTTGCACGCACCTGAGACTGGCAGAGCCGCCGCCGACTGGGATCCAAATACCGAAGGGCCCCTCTCCTTCGCCTAAAGAGCCTTCCCCTTATTTCCCCAAAGCTGGATGTCACCTGGAGTTAAGAAACTCCGCACTGGGGGCGTGGGGGGGTGTTTCAACACCAGGGGGGTCCCCTTATCTGCCAACAACACGTCCCACCCCACCCGCCCCACGGAGACTTAAGGTTTGGGCAGGGATCACGCAATCCGCCCGAAAGGCCCCTTCCCTCTGCGGGCACAGCGCGGTCCCGGCCCCGGGGAGGGAGGGCAGGAGAAGGGCCTTCTAGGGAGTCTGTCCCAAGCGCTGCAGAGGCAGCAGTCCGTTCTACTGGCCCAGAAGTCGGGGACAAGGGCGTCTTGCCGCTGTCGCCCGAAGCTGCGTCTCCCGCGGCGGGCTGCGGCCGGGGGGCACCCGCGCGCCCTGGCCCAGCCGCGCTGCCCTGCCCTGCCCTGCGGAGCGCCGGCTCGGCAGCAGCCTGCAGCGGGCCGGTCACTCGGAAGCCACAACTCACCCAGGGAAAGAGGTGCGGGGCAGAATAAGCCCGGAACGCCACGGGCGCGCTGGGGGTGCGGAGGAGCAGGACGCGGGGGTGAGGGGCGCAGAGAGGCTGGAGTTGGAGACGTGAGCACCCCCGCTCCACAGGTGGAGGCAGGAAACGAAACCTCCTTCCACACAAACGCCGCCTCCCTGCGCCCCGTATGTACTTGCCACTCAAACTTGAAAGCAGAGTGCAATGTTAATTTTTGAAATTTAAACAAACGAAATCCATTGGGCCCAATTATTTTACAGTAATTGGCTTTTTCATTGCAAGCGGAGAGTCGCTAATTCTCCAGGGCGAATTTTGTTGGGACATCCCCACTGGCTCCCCGGGCTGGATTTTAAAATTATGAGGGGATTGGAGAAGGGGAACTGTTTCGATTTGATTCCGAATCCGAATTTGCAATAATCAATACCTATCGGTACACCGCCCCCGACCTGGAGTGGTCTCGGCCCCCCATCCGCAGAATGGCAGCGTCCACCGCCTCCCTCTTCCTCCTCGGGTTTGTTTCAACTTTAGCATTTATTTACACCCAGATGGGCCTAAAATAAATAAGAACTAAAATAAAAATAGTTGTCCCCCCTCGCCTTAGAGAGCAGCCAAATCAGAGGTTATTTTCCGACCAGATGTGAGAACAAAACCTGGAAATTGAAACCACTGGGCCTTTTCGGATCGAGCCGGTCTGCGGGGCTTTGCACTAAGAAGTGCGGGGGCGGTACATTTAGAAGACACTCACGACCCTGACACCTCGCCTTCCACACACAGGGCTCTGGGGCAAATTAAATGAATAAGTAAATAACTGCGGAAGCGGCGCTCGGGGCTAGCGGGTGGGGAGGAGGACACCTGCGCCGCGCAGGAGCGGGACCCGCCAGCCGCGGGCACTCGCGCGCGCAGGACGCGGCATAGGGGTCCCAGGTTCTCGCGAGAGGGAGACTGCGGCGCCTCCTTCGGGCGCCCAGGACTCGCGGGTGACGCTGGGCTCCCCAACACTGGGCCTTCTAGCCCTGGGTTTTGTTCCGAGACCCAGTCTGGGGTGCAATTTGAGCAAGTTGTCGTGTCTGTGCCGGCAACTTTACCCCGGCAGGCTGCGGCCAGGAAGGTGCGCACCCCTCACCCCAGGCCCTGCGTCCTTCCCGCGGCGGCGGCGCTCACCCGTGCCGCCCGCGGGAGCGGAGATTCCCCCCGCCCGGGAGCGTCTGCGAGGAGGCGAAGGGAGCTGGGGGGGACGAGGGGGTCGCGTGCCGCCGCCTGGGGAGCCCCAAGGCCCCAGAGGCTTCGGATCAGCCTGGCAAAGGCCACTCATGTCCGAGGCAGCGCCCTGGACCCCGGCACTGCTCCCTCTGCAGGGGGCACGCCCTCGAATGGGAGCGCAACCTCCGCGCCCTGTACGGGGAGGGCGGCTGGAGCAGATCCTCACTTTCGTCGGCACGGAGACCCTGCCCGAACACGCACGCCCTCGGCTTCAGGGCCGGATCCCAGGCACGCGCGCGCCTCTGTCGGGTGCCGGAAACCTCGGCCCTTCCTTGAGGTCAACCTTTCTTCTCATCCGAGAGCAGGAACCGATGGCTCCGGCGCCCAGGACGGACGTCCCTCCAGTGCCCGCCCTCTCTCCCCCCCACCCCCAAGACGCAGGACGGCGTGGCTGCGCCCCGAGGCGGCCGGCGCCCCGGAACGGGTGCCCCCTGGGGACCCCCGGCGCCCTCGCAGCCACCTGGCTGCCAGGACCGCGCGGGCGGGCCTCGTCCCACGCCTCTGGGAGGCAGGATTGTGGGGGTGGAAGGTTGTCCCTCTGCAGCCCGCTCTGTCGCCCCTGCGCTCTGGAAGCGCTGGACCCAAGCCCCAGCCCGCGAGCAAGTCTCGGGATGGCGCAAACCCCAGACAGGAGGTGACCAGGCGTCAACAAGGACAGCAGCGCCGGGACAGAGCTGCCACCTCCGGAGAGGCGCGGGTTCGCGGCTCTGGAAACTCGGCTCCCGACCCCAGGCCAGAGCTTCGGCCCCCACCTCCACCCCCACCCCCAGGCCTCAGAAGCCCGCCAGGCTGGTCGAGCTGGGTTGGGGCTGACCTGCGACCTCTCTTCCAGCCCCAAGGAGGGGGCGCCGGAGCAGAAGGTGCAGGCCCTCGAGCGCTTTCGCAGAGGCCGCGCCACGCGCCGGGCATGTGTCCCGCCCCTGGGGACGTGAGCTCGGCAAGGGGCCTCGCTATAGTAGCTGACCCCCGGGATCCAGCAGAGGGACACGCCGGGCCTACAACAAATCCGCGAGGATGGAGCAAATTCACCACGCGCCCCACCCTCCCGTCGTGGCACGGCACCCACTGGACAGACACTCGGTGCCCAAAAGCTCCCAGAACGGAGTCCAGTAAGGGGCGCGCCTTGGGGCACCACAGGCATCGATTCACGGCCACTACAAAGTAATCATGAAGATAATAGTAAATAGCAGACGTGTTTTAATAGCGCGCACAGCGGCCGCACACGCGTAGGTGCCTCCGGACTCGGTCCGCCAACTCGGTTCAGTGCTCGCTGCGGTGCTCACCGCAGGCCGCGTGCTCCAAGCGGCTGCTCAGCCCTTAGCTTTTCCCTTCCACAAATGCGCAGAGCGCAGCGCGGAGCTGAGCGGGCTCCCGAGGCGGCCGGGCCCGTCTCTGTCCCGAGTTTCGTCCCGGCGCTCATTTGCACAGGGCTCGCGGCACGGAAACCCCGCGGTCAGTCTCTAACCTGACAGCCGTCGGCCCCAGTCCACAGCAGGCAAAGGTGAATTTTTAGTTGTCCAATTGCCCGAAAGCCACGAAGTTGCCTAGTACTCAAGGCCACCCTCCTAGAGCTCCTCGGGGACCCGTGGCAGGCTTGCCTGGCTCTCGCCTGCCCTGCTCCGAGGGACCGCCGCCCGCCAGAGACCTCGCGCGCTTGGTGGCAGGAAGGTAGACGCCGGGAGAGTGCCTGTCACCTCTCCGCCAGCAGACCTGGGCCCAGCCGAGCGCAACCTAACCGCTCCGAGCTCAGGCCCGAGGACTAAGGCGGGACCCCCATGTCCCCGGAGGCTTTCTCGTCTCGGTGTCCCGGGGTCACCATACACCTTCAGGCTAGCTAAGCCCGGCGGCTTTAACTCACTTATCTCGGTCGCCGGCAGGTAAGGAGGAGGCCCACTGCGGCCAGGCGCTGCGCTGCGCAGGCTCGTCTTCCTGCGCCAGTGCTGGGCGACAGATGCAGTCGGGGCAGCGCGCGGGACCCCTGCGGCCCGCACCGGCGCCGTCTCACCCCGCGGCCACCCTCGCCCTTCGCAGACAGCCCGTCCTCCCTCCTTGCCCGTCGCGGGAATCGCACCTGCCCTCCACCCAAACACCTCTCTTCTCACCCTTAGGAAGTGGAAATTCATGGTGTCAGCGCTTCAATCCGTGAGTTGGGGATTTTTAATAGTAGGAGCAACGAGGAAAAGAGCTCCCCAAGGGCCGAGTCGTGTGCTGTCAACACACGCTTCCAGCGTTTATTTAATTAACGGAAGGGGGAGGGGGGAGATTCGCTGCCAAAAGAAGCTATCGCGATTGGAAGACCTGAAAGGTCCTCATTCCTCCTTCCCGGCCCTCCTGCCCTCCTCCCCTTGGAAACTATAAACTCTCCATTTCAAAGGAATCTTTCTTAGTATTTTAAATGATCTTTACATATGCATATGACAGGCAGTTCCTAGAACTCCTTCCATCTAAAATTATTTTAAACATAGCCTACGCCCTACTGCCAAAGGACCTTTTTTTTAACTTATTTTGTCTCCTAAATCAGAACTATTAACATTTCTGTGAATTCGCAGGCCTCATGTCAGTCACATCGCGGGGTTCCAGGTCCAGCTAAAATTGAAGCAGGGGCAGTGAATTCTCTGGGGGGAAAATGAGGGGGTGGGTTGGGGCAGTCTTCCTCAAGAGCCAGAAAGATTTGTTTGCACCT